ACAAAAACTTCTTCTTTGTCTTTATTCCATACTAAGCAAACAAAAGCCACACGGTTTGTATGATTCTTTTCTTCATTTTCTAAACTCAATTTTCATTCATTCTTTTATAAGGAAAAAAAATTTCAACTCCTAACTCATTGCCTTTAGCTCGATCCATGGATATTAGAAGCTTGCAAATAAAAAATAGGATAACAATCGAACATGTGCTCCAACCGGCGATTGACAATACAAAGGTTTTTATAACTCTTCAACCCTTTCCATAAAATATTTTACGCATACACCTTTTACTTAAACTTTTATCCCATAAACAAAAATTTTATATTTACCATATCATCATTTCTTTCTAGACCGTCGGTTACACAATTACGGTCGGGATTATCCACATTAACATAACTTTTGGATGGTGGTATTTCGTATGTTCACGATGCAATCGGTTTGCATAACAAACAATAAAAATATACTCATACACAATCTATGAAAAGCTCGACCAAGATTCTACTCCACAATAAGCACTTTAAAAATTAAATCTTTCTTTGTTTTATTGTCAATGTCATCACTTTCGACTTAGCTTTTTTACATGATCAATACAAATTCATAACACTTATATTACGACATCTTACTTCATTTTTTTCATCTTACACGGATATCAAATCACTTACATAATCCAAGATACCATAGTCGAAGCCGGATGGCTTCTCATCGAGAATATTACTCCCTCATGCTTCGGATACACATACATATAGCTAGTTATAGATTATGAATATGTTGAAAATAACGTTGTGTCGTAACTATTGCTTAATTCGGTTAATCAACTTAAGATATTTTGCATAAGACGAAATCACTATTTTAGAGAAATAACTGACCATCATTTCATTACAACTTATGTTTTCAATGTCAATAGCAATCCTAGACAACAAATTAATAAAAATGATGAGCAAATGTGATAAGCTGTGCTCACATGAATATTTACCAAACCAACTTCTACTAGCTACTGCATACCCCATCCATTATGAGGTTTTCGTTATTTTTTTTATTGTACTTGTATCAATGTTAAAATAATAATAAAACATTGTTCTTAAATAATAGATTTCTTCATTTCAAAAAACAAAAACTAAAGAACAAAATTTACAAAAAAAAAAATCTAATAAAACACTTTCATAAATATCGGCATACTTTAAACATTGCATTAAATTGCTAGAATATACGTTTGACATGCTTGTTTTGTTCGAAGCGACGTAACACTAGTATCCCATTAGTAATTTACCTAATTTGGGTGAAATTACACCAAGAGGAGGAAAGAAAAAATGAGGATTTTTTTTTTAAAAGAAAAGAACTTAGAGAGGATGTGGATTGATTGAGAGTGGAGGAGTGGAGTTTAGTGGTGATTTAGAGGAAGGGAAGACCAACGATTGGTTAAGAAGGAGAGGAAGAAAAAGAAACTAATTTAATTAGGGATTGAAAAATAGCAATGGACTTGACCCCTCGCCAATCCACCACCAATTTGATGAAAAATTGATGGCTAGTTGATTACAATTGGTTACCTATTTTTTATAATTATCAATGAACGTAAGTGTCCGTCTCTAATCCGTCGCTAATTTAACGATTTTGACTTTCAAAAAGTCCTTTCAATTTTTTCTTTTAGCTACGAACTTTTTCATCGCTAAATTACAAGAGATTTTTCTTCTAGTAAGGGATATTCTATCGCTAAATCTAGACATTGAAAGTAGCAACGGATTAACAATCTGTTGCTATTTTTCCCAATAAATCTGTCACTAAACCGTCTTTACAACTTTTGAAAATATTTTCTTGTCAAATTTAGAGACGGATTGGTATCCGTTGATAATAAAACAACACTAATCCATCACTATTCCGTTGTTGGTTCCAACATACGTTATGCTATCAATATTTGCTTGTTATATAGAAATGAAAATTAATTTGTCACTAGTTTCCATCGGTATTTGACTTTTTTTTTATAGTGAAGTTTTCAACGACATTGAGCGGACAACTCCAAGATAGAAGTAAGTTAGCTTACTATCCAAAATTAGCTAACAAGATCATTCAACCTAATGATGAGGATCTCTTCTAAGTCATAACAAAAATAAAAGCTAGTAGATCGGAGGTAGATTGGAGGCTTGTTGCCATAATTACTATCATTTTATTTGTTTAGAAGAGTATAATCATTTGTGGTGGTCATAAACTATAAAGGGTAAGAAGAGGTAGATTAAAGGCTCGAAATATTTTAAGTTTTTTATTTTTATTTTTGTGTATTAAAATGGGTTTTGGGTATCTCAATGAGTTTATGGATGTTATTTTTGTGATTTTGAGGCTTTTTTGTATAAAAATAGAATTGAAATTGGTTATGGGAAAGCCTAAAATTCTGAACTCGACTTTCTAGTGACTTTTTCGATGAAAGCAGTTACCAAAAAATGTAGTCTTCTTCTCTTTTTTTCTATCTCCAAGCCCGATTGCACGGGCTCATGCTCGAAGGTTTTTTTTTTAAATAATCTAATTTAGTTATATTAAAGATTTTTCTTTAAAAATTATATATATAAATTTATTTAATTTATTTTTAAAATTTTTGTACAAGTTTATATACTAATTATAGATTTTTTATACAATCTTATGAAAAAGTATGTTTTTAAAGTATTTTTTGAATTCTGAATTAAATTTTCAATTTAGATTATTATAAATTTTTATTTTAAACCAATACACAAAGAGAACAAATAACATATTTTTAAGTTGAAAATTTATATAAAACATAAGAAAAATTACTTAAATACAATATTTTATTTAAAAAATTTAAAAATTTAGTGTTTTTTTCTTTACCTTTGATTCGATATATTTTAATAGATCCATGATATAACATGAACTATTAAATTAGATTGATTTTATTATGTTCTACCAACAATGTTGTGCATGTAATCGACTAAAAAATCAACATTTTTGGTTAATTTTTTCTTAAAAAAAAACTCTCATTAAATTTATCTTTCAAATAAACCTCATGTACATTTAAAATAAACATTAAATATTTTGATATATATCGAAATAAATTCATATCTTGAAACAAAATTATAATAATATAAATATTGCAAAAAAAAATTATATTTAATTTATTATAACAAATCACATGATTTTTAATACATCAAAATATTATAAATCGAAAGATATAACAATTACATCAACGAGTCTTGGATGATGTTGAAGCCATTTGATAATACTTGAAATTGAAAATCCTAAGTTAGTAGAAAGCAAGATAAACACTATTGATCTACTTGTAGGAAAGTAAATGCTATTCTAAAGAAAATAGGATAAAATTAATCTTTAGAGAAATCTTGTCGTGTTGTTGTCTTCTCTGTTTGTTTTCCCCCTCTTTATTTTAAATCGTTGTTGATTGATAAGCTGTTTAGAGTTTCAAATTTGAGCGTGAATGGTCATCACGTTTTATCTTCCTCTCTATTCGTCGACATTAGTTGGTTTGTAAAACCAAACATAATCTCTGTTTCGTCGATATTGGTTAGTTTGTGAAGCCAAACGCATCGTTTCATTTAAGATTCTCAAATCTCTGTTTCGTCGTTATTGGTTGGTTTGTGAAACCAAACGTATCGTATCATTTCATTGAAGATTCTCAAATTTCTATTCGTTGATATTGATTAATTTGTGAAACCAAACGAATCGTTTTATTAAGATTCGAGAATGCATCATTCGATTAAAGTACGAGTGTACATATCGATTTCAATCGACATTTGACTTTTAAAATTTATGTATGCCAACAGTGGTGCATGTAATTGACTAGAAATCAACATTCTTGGTTATATTTTTTTTAAAAAAAACTCTCATTAAAGCTATTTTTCAAATAAACCTCATTTACGTTTAAAATAAGCATTACAGATTTAGACATATATCGAAATAAATTCATATCATGAAACAAAATTATAATAATATAAATATTGCGAAAAAAAAATTTATTATAACAAATCACGTGATTTTTAATACATCAAAATATTAAAACAATAGGAGCTATTTTTTAACTGTTTTCAATACCAAACCACGACTTGCCCCTAGCACCGTCGTCCATAGCCGAGCACGGGCAATCGAATAGTCAACACCATTTCAATCTTTCGGTCGTTTGATCTAATATAATACTTGATTTTGTCAATCTTATCTCTTTCTTCGTGTCATTAATCTAGCTTAGCGTAAACAATCATTAACTAATTATGTTTTCTATGAAATCGTTAATACGACTGGCAATGTCACAAGTCATTATAATTTGCAATGGGACAAGGTATTATCAAATCGAATGGTCAAAAAATTTATAAAATGAAAAGAAAGAAAAATTAGGAACATCTAAGAATTCCAAAGACATGACATGTCCGTCTTAGGTCCTCGCTCTCTACCTAAACCAGTCTTTATCACCACAAATTTTCACGAGAAAACATTTCTTCAACCCACAATCATGGTGTGCTTCACGTGCATGAGGATCCATACACCTCGCACCTTTGAAGGGTCTCAATCAACTGGACCCGGGTTAATACCAAAAACCACATGATCATCACACACGTGTCCAAATAACCTTATACTTATCATTAAGCCAGGTCAACTGGTGGCCCTTTTTGATTGGTCACCGTACCATAAGTAACACGTAACTGTCCTATGAACATTACCGCAACCTGCTAAGTCTATCCTCGTATTACATACCTACACATAAGGGACCAAAAGATTTCTTGAACAGAAATCAAGATATGGCCACCGGACACGTGTGCTATCAACGATGCCTAGCTTGCCACGTGCGTGGATCTTTATGGTCCTACGTTGACACGTTACTTTACGTGGTGCAATAGCTAAACCTAGCCGCGCATATAAGGGGTTTGCTACATATTTTTACGTACATGCAGGTCCCGTTTTGCTCTAGAATATCATATATATACCATATATCCATTTTGCCTTTTTTTCATGCTTATCTCTACAAAATTGTAGAGCTTTTTGTTACTTGTTTCTTTGAAATGATGGAAGGCGATGGAACAACCATGGTGAGGATTGATAGACAATCATCAATAGAAAATGAGCCAAGGACTCTAACTATGGATCAAATCCAATATGCTAGGGTAATCGCGTATAAATGTTGCTGAGTTTATGTCTTCTTGAGGCCGGATTTGATGGTGTAATTATACACAATACTTTTCTATGTTTGTTGGATTAATTAGGTAGGTAGGTAGGATATATATGGAGTTCATATTTGGTGATGCATGTTAAAATTGGGTTACAATCTTGTGACAGGAGGCGGCTCTCTGTGTGGTGAACACGAGGAGCATAGAAGAAGCTTTGAGTATATTTACACAGGTAAACGACCTAATTTTGAATAATAGCTACTATATATATATATAAGTTTGCATGCTTTTCATTTCTTTCTTTTTTTTTTCTTTTTCATTTTGTAAGATTGATGAATGAAGGGAGCAATTATAATAAGAATGCAAGCCTTAACATTTTCCCAATTATGGGTGGTGGGAGCGGTAAATTTCTGCATATTATATATGTTTTTTTCTTCTAAATGATTGATTCTTTTTAATCAATCTCTCTCTCTTGTGGGTATTTAATTAGTTGTTTTTATTGGTGTGCTTCTTGATAGCTATTTTTAATTTATCTTATGTGAACTGTAATAAACTAGAAATGTTAACGACAGCTGTACGTAATTGTAGGGTTTAGAGCCGGTGAGGAGTGTGGCAAGACCAAATGGGGACATAATGATGGATATGAGTAGAGAAATACGGTATTTGGATGATGGGAATTACATGCAACTGCCTGGGATAAGAGATATATCATCTGCTCCTTTTTAATCGATTTATTTGTCAACACAACCTTTTGATACAGCTAAATGGGATTAGGTAGCCCTCTGGTGTACAAGATCCAAACTTTGCTTTTCCAGAATCTGCCTGCCTATATATACATATTCAATTCATTCGACACAACCCTTTTCTTTTTTTTTTCCCTTCTTTTTCTTTTACCATGTGATGATGATCTCGTAAATGAGATTAATTAATCATTACAATTCATAACAATTCGGCTTCTATTTTGCCTTAATTACAGAAGGGGAAATCAACAAACTTTACCCTTCATATTTTGGAGTCATAGCTAGCTTTACCCGATAACTTTTAGGTGCATATGTTATAATTAAACTATGAACCTCAATAACCGATTTTTTTTTTTTTAAATTGTCAAATTTGATTGAATAAATTTAATTTGTGAGAAAAAAAAAGTCATATAAATAAATATAATATATTTATTTATTTGGAGAGAGTTGAGAAAGTGCTATCTCGTTGAACGGGTTTTATGTACATCTGTAACATTGTTTTTTGGACAGACCCCCCCCCCTTGCTGCTGTATGTTAAATGTTTAATGTGTGGATTAAATCTATGTTTAAATTGAAATTGAGATATTGATGCAAGTTTTTCTCTTGTAAATTGGAGAGATTAATATAATCTAAAAGAGATTGATAATAAGTTTCTTCAACATTGAATATTTCGCTCTTTATTAAAGGTGTTTTAGAAACGTTTGTGAAAAATTAAATAGTTCTGATTTGTACTATAAAAAATCATTAAATATAAATATGTTAGATATATGTGTGATTTTTTTCTCCAAATTTTTTTTATTACTGTTGTACAAAAAATATTTTGCTGCAAATGAGCAGAATAATAAAGAATTGTTCATGTAAAAGGGATTTTTTTTTTTTTTTTTTGTTACAACAAAAGCATTATTTAAAAATCAAAGTCGATTTCTTTTATAAAAAGAAGATATCAATGATTCATATAGAATCTATATCCTAGGTGTATCGAAAAACATTCTTTTAGGTAATTAAACATATATAATAAAATAAAGAGCACTTGAGGTCAAAGTCAATACATTTTTTTTAAAAAAAAACTATTTCTTTCAAAAAGAGTTGTCATATCTTGGTAATGAGATTTTGAACTTTTACGAGATTGTTTTAAGAGATTCAATTAATTGTTGTAATTGTGGAGTGTCATTATAAAATAAGAATTCGGGTTGTCAAAAGATTTTCTGTAATTATTTCTAGTGTAGAATGAGTCAACTATTTACTTTGGTAACTTATTAAACAAAAAATGGTGGTATTGTTTTTTCATTGGTAAAATATTTTGATTTTTTAAAAATATTATAATCATTTGATGAAAAGGGTTTTTATTTTTTCAAAATGACTGATTTGAAGACCTATCAGTTCTAATAGTTGATTATAGAGTTGATCGTTCAGATCTTGCAACTTATAGGCATGAATCTCAAACCTATAAATAGAGATATTTTTGAAAATCACAAGATAAAAGGAAAGCTAGTTAGACAAAAAGAGAAGAAAGTGGAAAAAGAAGAATTGCACAGTTCTACCTTTATCTTCAATGAAGATTAATTTCAAGACGCTTCCAATCCAGATCTTTTCAATTCATGTAATTTTACACGTGATTAAAAAAGATACGTACAGAATTATTTTAATCAGAAACGAATAGAAAACTTACTCATACAAGTTGATCAATTTCCTGCTAAAATCAAGGAATTGCTTTGAAATCAAGCTGCTTTCCTCTCCTTACTTGGAGAGCCACTTTCGTTTCTGTACCCCATCCATTGATGGGATTTCTTCTCCCGTGTGATCGAGTCCATTCCTGGTAGAGGAAAAGTAGCAAAATAATTCTCAACAATGATGTTCTACAAGCTAGGAGAACCCAGCATCTGTTAAAAAGAGTGTGTTTGTATGTCTAGAAAGGGTGTGTCAAGGATAAAAAAATAAATCTTACATTGCTAAAATACAAATTAATCATGGGCTAAAATAAGTTTGACAATTGATCAGCTAAGTTTACTAATTTACTAATATATGTATATATTTTTGCTTAATTATCGATGGCTTGTTGCCATCGATCGTGGTTCAAGCAATCGCCGAGGTGGTGGTGTTGTTATTTCGACTTGCAGCAATTTCTTTCATGATTTTTCAGTCATAGCTCGTCCTTGATAATCACAAGAAGTGGTTTTCTGATCGGAATCTTGGGTTTTCAACTGAAAGTCATCTTAATGTTTAGGCATGCTTCTCATGTTCTAAAAATATAGAAGGTTCGAAATCTTCGGATTTAGAACCAGTCTATACTCTCCGAAGATGGTTGTAGAAAGTCACTTCTTGGGTTATTTTTTTTTATATATATATATAACAAAAAAATGCTTGTCCTAGACGACATGATTCAAGAAGATGATATGAAAGCCTTGTATAATTAACGCAGACCAGCAGAGAGAAAACTCAGGAATTAAAACAGCAGAATATGCACTTAACTGTGTATAGTAATTAACCAAAATGAGGTTAAAAATGCATGATCCTGTATTACGATTATGAGGAGCACAAGGCACCCACTGAGATGGAATTAAAGATGCCTTGATAATCGTTAGCAATTAAACACTACTGGAAGCTGAAAACAATACTATTCTAAGAAAATTGGAGTTGGTACTTGGGCTGTTTACTGGGAAAAAAGAGGCCGAAATGTCTCTCAGTTTCTGCGCCACCCTTCTGGTTTTCATCGAACATGGCGAACAAATAAGTTTCAATTGGTTGTCCTGGCCTCTTCGGAGTTCCATTTGCGATATGGCTAACCAAATTCTTACAATAAGCTCTTGCATTGCTAATGGTAGCAGCGTCATGCCCTACCGATGGCCAGCCGGTCTCTGATACAACTATATCAACAGTCAAACCACCTGCTCTCTCAAGTGCAGAGTAGAGGGCATCCAATGATGCATCAAAGAGGTTATTGTAATTCAGCTCTCCATCTTGCACTGCAGACCCTTCTGAGTCAAGTAAGGCGTAGCCAAGATTGATGTATTGTGGGCTATCAATAAAGGTAAAGTAGGTGTACAGATTGGCAAGAAGTGGTGCCCCAGTTCTTGCTAGGAATTGGACTATTGGGTATATATACGGTCCTGAACTAGTACTAAATGCTCCTGCTGATGGAGGATACGAAGTTCCTAACAAAGATTGCTCTATTGGAGTAGACACCTTAATGCTCAAATTAGCAGATGCTATGGAATTATAGATGTTTTGCATTGCAGGTAGAACAAATTGAGCCTCAGCATCACTGTGCTTAACTTCATTGCCGACTGCGATGTATCGAAACTTGACGTCAGGTGAGTAGGCTAGTATATTGGCTTGGACCCAATTGTTTGCGGCTGAGGCATCAGCAAGGTCTTGAAGGTCTCCATTAGGAACACCGAGGGTTACCTCTATGTTTGATCCTCTAAGAGCCTGGAGGGTTGCTTGATTTGGATCATAGATTCGCATTCTGCCGATGCCAATGCTCGTATAAAAATCTACAACTTCTTGTTCAGAAGGTAAGTCGTTGCCTAACCGTCCGTTGCAGACACCTAAAGATTTTGCGCCTGTTTCAAGCGCGAGGCAAAGTTAGATCACTTCTTCAAAAGAGAACCAGTGATGAAAAGGAGGTTCTTTATTTTATTTTTTCTTTTTTTGACCAGTATTATTAAGACAATAAGAACAAGAAAAGCTGTAAAGAGAGCAACAGATAAGCAATGCAATTAGTGTTATTGAATATTAAAAGATGCAGGTGGGAAGCCAACAAGAATGTGACAAATACAAGAAACAAACACACAAATTAGCATTATGGAACTGACAAGCAAGGCCCAGTTTGGGCAATCTGCATCTATCTGTGCCCTGATCATGAACCAACCCAAGCAACAGCATAGATTGAAAAAGCAAAACTATGAATCCAAGTAGACTTTAAGTTATGATCATATTCGAACTTAGCAAGCACAACAGAAGCTGCAATAGTGTAAAATTGGTGCTGGACTGATTCATAAGGAAATGTTACAATGCTACAAAATGTTACCTGTTACAACTTCTAGGCCAGGCATCAATAATACAATTAACAACAAGGCAGCCAGATTAGTGTTTTGGCTACCTGCATTGAAGAAAGCCATGGAAAAAGACATGAAAAAACAGAACCCTCAAGGTTTTCTTTGATGTTGATTCTTTTTGTTTGCTCCCTACTTCTCTATATATATAGAGAGAGAGAGAGAGGGAGAGCTCTTTTCAAGAATAGGCCCGCTCGAATGGCATGGCAAGCAGCATGTCAGAAATAGCGTTATTCTACTGGCAATCTCATGGTTAATCAAAAGTCAAGAATAGCATTTTGCCAATATACCCAAAACTTTATTAGTAAGAATATATAGATCAAGATTGGTAGAAGATGGGCACAAGGAGTGCTCTTCAAAGCTAATGTGTAAATGTAATATGCTTCACACTTGTTGTTCTATCAACCAAAAGTAAGTTGATTCTTGAGCTGACTATCGGAGAGGAACAGACCACAATATTGTTCAATTCCTGCTGGCTCTAGCTCTTGTCGAAATTTGCAAACAAGTACTTCTCTACATATAGCCTGTCCAGGCCTTAAGGTAGTCCTTGTTTCACATGATTGATCAAATTTTAAATTTTAAAACATTGAGATATATTAAACTGACATATGAAAATTTTACTGAACTTACAAATTGGTTTTCTGCTGAAAACTTTCAGGATAGGAGAATACACTATTAGCAAAATAAAAGGAAAATACAAAAATATTTGGAGGGGGATTTGGTCTTATGAGAAAATTTGTCTCAATTCATGAGAAAAGGCCAGCTTTTCCTTATTAAGATCATACTTGTTACATACCTAGAAACAACTTCAACTGTTCAAGTGGGAATTTATTGGATGATTGAATGTGTTGAATGACTCTTCGTTAATTTCAACTATACGAAGGTTTGAGATTTGGTCGCATATCTTTTTTTTTCTCATCACATGAAGTTTGAAATTTTGTTTGGTAATCATGATTTTGATTTTTTTCTCGACCATCTTTCTTTTTATGACATTAAATGATCTTTTATAACGTAGTTTATGCTACGCTGGAAAGTTTATATAGTGGATAGTAGTTATACAATAGGAAAAAAAAATCTCAATGTATAAAGATAAAAAAATTATCATTTTTGAATTTTCAAATAGATTAAAAATATTATTAATTAATATGTCATGTCACTATTTTATATATATATATATATATACCTTTTTAATTGTAGCTCCTTCATAAAATGAACTTAATTAGAAATATTATAGAAAAATAGATGACTTATAGGTATTGTTTGGTTATAAGAATGAAAAATTTAGAATAAAAAATAAGAATCATAATAAAAGTTAGGAAATCAAAATAGTATTTTCACTCTAATATTATGTTTGGAGTAGTAATGAAAAATTAGAATTAAAATTTTTTAAATAAATAAGAATAAAGATTAAAAAATATAATGATTATAAAAATAATTTTATCAATTATGATAATAGTAAAAATAACAAAAATGACTCGCGATAGTGATAATAATAGAGGAGGATAAGGAAGATAAGATTGTAGTAATAGTAATAATAATATATGTTAAAAAAATAAAATTGATCCCACTATGATAGGAGGTGGCAATTAAATAAGAGTGATAGTGGTGGTAGCATAATAAAAGTTAGTGATGATAGTAGTATAATAAAAGTGATTGTGAAATAATGAATTTTTTTTTTTTTTTTTATCCCCAAATCCAAAGGTAGTGAAGGGGGTGATGATGGTAAAAATAATTAATACATAATAAATGAAAATAAAAAAACTCTAAAAACACCATATGTTTTTAGAGTTTTTGCTTCGAATTCAATAAATATAAAGTTAGTCCAAATATTTGATGCGTTTCTACCATTTTTGTTTAAAAAACTAAAATATTGGAGTTAGAGTTTCACATACATTTTGTGCAGTTTCGATTCTTTTTTAATCGACGCCAAACAATCATGACAACCTTCAATCAATAAGAGATAAAAAATGAAACGATCTTTGTTGAAAAAAAGATTATTTTTTAAGCTATCTCTTTCACTTAATAGAGTTGGATGTGAAATAGTGGAGAAAATGTTTAACTAGCAGTTGAAATTCATTTATATATAAGGATATTTTTGTCTTTTGACCTATGTTTGCCTGAAAGTGTATTGTCAAATATTTAAAGTATAAAATATAATTTATAAAATTATAGGTATAAAAATATGACCGCACTTAGATGTTAATTTATTCAAAAGAAAAAGCAAAAAGGAAATACAAATCCAAACAAGTCCTAAATGACCAAGGCTGTGTTTGTTTGAGAGAAAATAAGTTTTAGGAATTTAGTTTTTTTATTTTTTGATGTTTGTTTCACGTTTAGTAAAAACTTCAACGAAAAATGATTTTCAATCAATGAAAAATAATATAAAATTTTTGAAAAAATGTTTTTCGAGTTAAAAAGAGGAAAATATTTTTCTCTCTCTCACGAGTTGTCTCGCTCTAACATTACTAATTTCTCTCTCGATGTATTTTAATAATTTTTTTCACTTGTTTTTTTATTTAAAATATATCAAATTAATTTTAATTATTTCTTATCAATTATTATTAATTATTTAATTTTTTTCTCTATTTCTACTAACATTTGATTTTTTGATTTATAAATATATTAAATATTCTTAAAAATCATTTTTACACCTTAAAATTATTTTTAGAATAAATATTTCAATAATTTATTTCTATTTTTTTACTATTATTCTAAGCACCATCTAAATTATAATTAAATAATTAAAAATGATTATTACAAGATCTGCAATTATTTGTGCAAAAATTAAAATTAATTAATTCATTAATAAATACATTATTTTTTCAACACATTTGCAACTAAATCAATAATTTGTGACTAATTTTAATCGGTGGTAAAATTTTATGGTAATTGTAGTTAATAATTAGTTATAAATTATTCAAACATTAATCTTTTGAAACTAAATAAATAATTATTTACAAATTATAACTAATAATTTGTAAAACTATTTTTAGAATAACTTATCAATTCAGTTTCAAAAAAAAAAAAAAAAAATTCTTAATTGAGTTACCAAAATAACAATGTTAGGATTACTTATAAATTTTTTTACTAAATGTGAATATTGATTTGATTTTATCCGAAACAGTTTTGATGAATTGGTTTGATATTTAAAAAAAATATACATTTTATTTTTTTATTTTTTGAATTTAAATCTTAGAGCCAGTATTAATAAAAATTTATTAATTTTTTTAAACGTATTTTATATTGTGAAATTGTGAATTTGCCTTATTGAAGTTTTATCAAAACTCGTTAATTTAACAATTATAATTTGTTTTTATATTTTAGTTTTTTGTATCAAACAAATGCTGAAATATATTTTTCAATAGTTTTTTTATATAATTTTCAAATGTCAAAAAATATTTTTTTTAAATAACTTTTTTTATAATTGATTTTTTTTTTAATTAAAAGTTGTTTTTCAACGAACAAAGGGAATCCAAGAATACAACACCAATTCAATTCTCACCTACCCAGCCCACATGCCCAACCCCAAGCCTTGCACCACTCCCCTCCATTACAACCCAAGCAATAAAAACAACAAAGCCCGCCAAATCCTCTTCTCCTTTCTGCTATGGGTTTTGCAGCCATGTCAAAAACCCTAACCCCTCTCTCCTTCACCACTCTCTTACCCAAAATCTTCCTTTTTTGTTCCCTTTGCCTTCTACGTAAGCAATGTTATCTTCATTCTCATCTCCACTTCCATTATCACTCTTGAAAGCTCCACATAATGTCATGGAGATACAAATGGAGTTTATTACACATAACACGAAAGACCCAAATCCTCAAAACTCGTTCAGTTCGCTACATTTCATCATCACTAGTGTTATGTTTTAGTGTAATTGACAAAACCCAGAACTTGTTTTATTGAGAAAGTAATGTTAAAATACCTCTCACACCTCAGATTGTGTACTCTACTTTGTTGAATTGCCCTTCTGATTTGATTTCTTTGAGCTTTTTTATTTGGTGTGCTAAGCAAAATGATTACTTTGATGAATTAGCTTTTGATTATATGGTTAGTGTTGTTTCGGGGTTAGGTGAGAGGTACATGACTGTTAAAGCAATTGTTAGGGAGTTAGAGAGTGTTGGTTTTTTTGTAAAGGCTCGAACTTTCTTGCTTTTGTTGAGGATTTATTGGCATGGCGGAATGTATTCTATGGTTTTTGAAGTTTTGGAGGAAATGGGTAGGTTTGGTTTTAAGCCGAATGCGTTTGCAAGGAATGTGTTAATGGATGTTTTGTTCAAGATTGGTCGTGTTGATGTGGGGATTAAGGTTTTGAAAGGGACCCAGTTGCCAAATTTCTTGAGTTTAAATATTGGATTGTGTAATTTGTACAAGTTGAATGATTTGGTTAATGTGAAGAATGTTACGAGGATGATGTACATTTGAGATGGTTTTGAATTGCCTTTGCAAAGCCCGCAGATTAAAGGAGGCACATCAAGTGTCGGGGCTAATGATAACGCGGGGTATTTCTTTGTCTGTAAATGCCTGGAGTATGCTGATTGATGGATTTGTAGATTGCATCAACCTGTTATGGCAGTTTCTTTATTGGAGAAGATGGTTAGGAGTGTTTGTTCTCCTAACGTTGTAGCTTACACAAGTTTATTTAAGGGATTTACGGAATCCCAAATGGTTAGATGCTTGATGTCTTTGAAATGTGCAATGTGCATGGGAGACATCAATCTCTGTTTTTATCATTAGGAAGATCAATAATGATCAAGAGATTGTTGCTGACAGTATAGCTATCATCTCTGGATAGTAAAACTTCAGTTTTTTGATCATCAGCTAGCTATTGGATATTCTGGTTGGTATTTTTGAAGGACAAAACCTGGCTCCTCATCTTGAAGGGAAAATCCCGGCTTTGCTTACCCAATAGTGCACAAGCATATAGGGTCGTCCGTGTTTTGAAAAACCAAGCAAGTAGCTAGAAATCAATTCCTTGAGGAAGCTTTTCAATCTCGTTATAGTAGCTTGGATAGAAATTGGTTCTTGAAAACTCTAAAATACAATCGATTCTCATACTCCAATGATTCATTAAATATTTGATCAATCAACAGTGCCGTAGAATTTGGTGTCAAGGTCAAATTAGATAAATAGGTTTGTTGTGTTAGGGATTTCCTCTCCTTAACTTCTAATTTATTGTCTACCTCATAATTTTAAATAACGATCGTGGTTGGAAAATGATCATGATCGCATATCATGAATTATTACGATAGTAAAATAACGATTATGACAATCGGTATCGTGAATACATTAGCAATTATTAATATATATTTTTTTAATTCACATATTTTTAACAATTTTACTAATTAAGTATATTAATAATTAATGACATCTTTAATAGTTTAATATTCTATAAAAATAGTTGAATTTATTACAAAAAAAACAATAATAATAATCATACTTTTAATAGATTAATATCACAAAATAATAATAATAAACAACTAATTATTTAATCTTTTAATTAGTAGGGATTATGTTTAATATCATATTATTTTATTCTACAAAATGTTTTTTCATCAATTTTTTATGATATAAATTTATTTGTTTCTTTTTTTTAATTTTTTTTAAATAAAAAGGAAAACAAATTAGAAAATAACATAAAATGAAAAAAAAAATGATTGAATAATTGATTTTTGAAACATCGGACTAATTAATTTATTTTTACAAACTAAAGGGATGAATTTATATTTTACTCACTTAAAGCCAGCATTCCAGCATGCATTTGTATTTGGTGCATGCAACCTGAAATTTGGTTGAGTAATAGGGAGTAAATTACACATTAGTCTCTTTAGTTTTGATAAATAAATTAGTTAGTTTTTTTTTTTGAAAAATTAATTAATTATTTTTTTGATGAATGTTGAACATGTTTAATGTAATATTATTTTATTTCATAATTTTTTCATCAATATTTTCTTGATATATATATTTTTTTATTTTTCTATTTTTTAAAATAAAAAACAAATAAATTAAAAAATAATATAAAATGGATTAAATAATTGATTTTTAAAATAAGAAAGGTTAACTAATTTATTTTTTCAAACTACAGAGATTAATTTATAATTTATTCAAGTAAAGCTTCATTCTCCCTTTAATTGTGAATATCACATTAGTATATTTGAATCTAGTGGACCACTCTCTCTACTCCTCTTTCTTTGTCTCTCTCCCTCTCGGCTCATTTACACCTCTTCAATTCACATCCTCCTTCATCTTCTTTCTTCCTTTGTCTCTCTGATTCTCTATAGGCTTTTCTTTCTTCATCCTGCTTTTCACATTTTTCTTTTTGATTCTGAACCAAACTTTCCTGTAAGTCTCGTTTGTTCTTTTTTATTGTTTTATTTTTTCCATTTTTTACGTTGCTGACTAATTATGATAGAATTATGATTTTTTTTTAATGTATAACATCATTATATTACAACAAATAATTGTATTATATAACGATAATGTTATTATTAGTCATTACATTTTTGAAATGAAGTGCTCTGTTATCGTTATGTAATGTAATGATTGTTATTTAAAATTATGGTCTATCTGCTCATGCTTTATGTTACAGTGTAATGTAAGAATGAAATAGCTAAGTTATCCATGTTTTGGATCAATATTTTCAGGCTATTCTCATATGAATCAGCTTAGGAAGAAATAACAAGATCTGTGTGATGATAAATGCTTTTAGTTTAGTGGAAGTGGTATTAGTTCCTTACAATAAAAAATCACATTCAAGTCCTAACAAACTAGTTTTGTCAGAATCTTTGAGTGTGAGTTAAAAAAAAAAAAAAAAAAAAAAAAAAAAAATTTTGATGGCCGCTTGTTGTTTGTGTGGATGAAATCATATAAAAAAGGAAAGGATTTGATTTGAAATAGAACACCGAGGTCGAACCCAAATTTAGATTCCAAGGACCAAATCTAAATTTGATCAGAATATGAAAGGTTGTAAACTTAATCTCAGATAAAGAACAGTTCTAGACCGATTAAGACCCCATGACTGTTAAGCAATTACGACTTGAGACAAAAGATAACCTCTTCGGGTTGGTTTTATTTATTTATTAAAGTACTTACAAATCAATCATCTTCATTCTTTAACCTCAACAGACAGACACCATAAATGTAAAAATACAAGCTTGCCTCATTATCTATATTTTTAACATTTGGTTGGTCAATGTTTGTTGAAATTAATCAGCACTCTTTTGGGCACATATCTTGTATCAAAAAGGACATCGGCCTCGATGTACGTACGTAATAGCATTTTCCATTTTATCGACAATAGCTGCTTAAAAAATATTAAAATTTGGCTATGCAGTAATTATTCAAAACTAGCAGAAAAATAAAGAGCAATTGATAACTTGACATCAAAACTTCTAATAATAATCGTTTTTGGACTTCATAAAATCGCAACCGGCCAAGTTCTAAATAAGTTTTACGTACAGTATGATTTAAAACCAATTCATACCATAAGAGTATGAATTATTGGATTAAAAATCTCTATTAAACCCGGTAAGCAAACTATGATAAAATTTAAAAGAGCTTAAGGAATTACATTTATTTTCCCCACCTCTGATTGAGAGGGGTGTCTAGATCCATCAGCTCCAGAAAGTCCATATTGCTGCCTGGCAGCGTTGGATCCATGAAGTATTGCGAGATGGGGACATTATTCCCACCTTCCAGATTGGCAAGGTCTCCCAAGTTCTGATATATGTCAGCCTCTGGCTCAGCAGTCCCACCAAAATCGACACTCTGTAAATCCAAATCAAATTTCATTCAAGTAAGATAAAAAAATTCAACAAACTAGCAAATAAAGAAAACTGAAGTACAAAAACCAAAAACAGAAAAAAAAGAAAAAGAAAAACCAAGACAACGGATGATAGATTTCAGACATTACAGCAGCCATGAAACGGCAAATCACAAGTATCATATTAATGCACAAACTGAAGGGCAACTCAAAAAAAAATTTTGGAAAACAGTTCGGGGGAAAAATTCAGCCATGTGATATGCATTACAACAATAAAAGAAAAAAATGAACAAATGAATAACAATGTCTCATAACAGCACCGAGCAAAACCCAAGAACAAAAACACAAGAAAATTTAGTTTCATGATTTCCCAAGTCCCAAGAACTAATAAAACCTAAACCATACGAAATAAACCCATTTGATAGATTCACATAAGTCAATTTTGCAACTGCCTTCATGTTTAGAACAAAGTCCAAAGCAAAGTAAATAATTACATACATGTCAGTAAGTTAAAAGATAGATAAACACACCTCAGTGTTGTCATTTCCGAAGATAGCCAGCATCGAAAGAATATCATCATCATCATCATCCATGATTTGAGTAGCTTCCACTTGAGGAGCATCCATGCTAGGAATGTAAGTAGAGTAGCACGTATTTTCTGGCACATATGAGCTAGATCTAGCATGAATGGAACCATTTTTGTTGCATGGTTGTTGAGATACTGGTGTTGACATGCCAGCAGAAGAATCAGCTTCACCACCATTCACATTCTCCTGCACAACCTGAGGAGCTTCTGCAGAAGCAACATCATTATAAGAAACCATAGGAAGGGTTGTGCAAGCTATTGCTGGGGCTTGGGAAGGACATGATTTTGGTGGTCCAGTGCATGTGCTCTCTGGCACATGTGAGCTTGTAGCCATGGACGTGTTTGGGTTGTTTGGCAGCGTAAGTGCTGGTGCATGCATGACAGCAGAAAAAATAGCTTGTTGGACATTCACTTCGTCCTCTGTCTCATCATCATCATCATCATCCCATTCATCCTCATTAAACGGTGCTCCATATTGTGCACCATTTTTTGGGCCAGGTCCCTCCTTCTGGAATATCACACAGAGTACATACCCATCCTGAGCAATTCCTTTGTCAGCCAACTCCTTTTCTTCAAGTCTATACTCATACATGACCCAGTCTGTCCGGTCCCCTTTAGGTGCCTTACCGGTATGAAAAACCAAAGTTTTTATCATCCCTACAACTGCATTTTTGTATTTAACAGATCTATCTCTTCCAGTGGTTTTCCAATACCCAATATCAGTGGCACGCTTCATTCGTAACCCACTTGCATACTTCTTTTCTGTAGGGCAAAAGAAGTACCATTTCAGATCCCCAGTTCTCAAATAAGATTTATCTGGAAGATGCCATGGGGCATATTTGTTAATTTCAACCTCTGCAATCGCTTGAAAATGTAGTTTCTTCCCCAGAACTTTTCTCTTCAGATAGTATTTTACCAGTTCCACATCAGTTGGATGGAACCTAAAGCCAGGAGGCAATGAACCTTTTTTCCCCATAGAGAAAATCCAGCAGAGTGTCAACGAGAAAAAAAAATAACAATACACAGTTATCCTTCACGAGCAGCTAGCAATGTTGTATGAAGCAGCGTGGTTACCAGGCAGGTAGCCAAATCTAATACACTAATACTTTTGTCTTTTGCAAAAACAATGAATCTGAATATTGAAAGCAGTGAGAATGACACTCTTGTGTCAAAAGAAAAACAGAGAACTGAAGGGTCAAGTCCAGTGTCTAAATAAGAACTTCCAAGAACACCACAGCCTCCCCCGGGTCATAAACCCAGAAGCACACCAAAGTAATGACGATTTTGTCTTGTAGAGATCAAAAGACATTGGGTGTGCAATATAAATCCTGTGTCAGACATTCTATTAGTCACACTGATCCAATAAAACCGATCAACAACAGATACCATAAATCACACAATCAAAATCTAACTCACACAACCACAACAATCAATATAAAACAGTAAAAAAGAAAAAGAAAAAAAGACAGACTCATCTTAGCAAAACACAATCTCAGATCTACCAAGATAAAACCCAACTGCAATCAAACCCTAAATCAAGCAAATCAAGATATTAACCACAAGAACAAAAACAGAAGACAAACCCATTGCGCAAAAACACAATCTCCAACTCCTAAGGAACCACAACACGTCAGGCTCAACAAAAAAAACCCATCGAAACAACACTAAATCGCACAATCAACACGTTGATGTCAAAATCAAAACCCTAAACCAAACGAAAACAAAACAAACCATTGCATAAAAACACAAACTTTACCACCTAAACATTCACAACTCCTCAATACAACAAAAACCCATTAAAAGGGAAAAAAAAAAAACTAAATCGCACACCCCAGATAACAATTTCAATCAACCAGCTTAAAATAATCAAAACCACAAACCTCAAGCGAGAAATCAAACAAAGAACCCATAGTAAGATAAGTAAACAGAGGAGGAAAAAACTCTAGAAATCGTACCCTGAGAGAGGGGAGGCTGAGATCAAAAGCGAGAGAGAGAGGCCGAAACGTTGAGTGCCCAAAATAATGGCGAGTGAAAAGGCAAGGGGTAAACAGTCTAGGAGTTGGTCAGGTTTTATATAGAAAGAGGGGGGTAGTAGACCGAGAGAGTGAGGGTGTGTTTGTTTACTCAGTTAAATCAGTAGGACGCGTGATGAAGAATCCTTGTGTTTTGATTGGTTGGATTGCCTCATTAATTTGACTTTTCTATATATATATATATATATTGGGAAATGTTGAGGTGTTTTCGATGGCTGGACCTTTTGTGTAAGGTGGGGGAGGCACAATGCGGCTGTGGTTTGTGTTATGGTGTTTGGTTGGTTGGGTAAAAGATAAGGATTTTCTTGTTCACACTACTTTTCTTATACATAAAAATAAAATGCAAAAAATATATTTCCTTTTTTATTTTGATTTTAACGATAAGCTATCGTTGTATTTAAACAGATAATTCGTATTGAGATTGGTGTGTTTAAAAATTTTACACAAGTAATATTCTTGGAAGATTTTTTTGCAAAATATTATTAGTTAGTATTTGAAACATTCTTTGATGTCTTTTACGTTGAATATATTTTGGAGTGAATTATTAATTAGTCTCTCTAGTTTTTTTTTCAAAAGAAATTAAATACTTCTTCTAATTTGAATAACTAATTAATTAATTCTTATGCTTTTAAATTCTTTTCTAACTTAGTTTTTTTTTTCAAGAAATAGAAAAAAAGTAAAAATATGGATAGATTGATAAGAAAAAAAAACTTTTTTTAGAAAAAAAATATTGAATTAATCATAATCAAAAGATTAATTAATTAGTTTTGAAAATAAAAAATATTTAATTTTTTTTAAAACTAGAGAAACTAATTTATAATTTACTCGTATGTTTTGTTATCAATTAACATTGCTACATAACTAACAATTTTTTTTAAAAGAAATTATATTGTACAGTTTTTAGCTATCTAATAAATGATGGTTTCTTAGATTAATTTTTTTTTCACAATTTAAATTAATTTTTTTCACACCGTCAATAAATTAATTATAATTTTTAAAAAATAAGTAATAGAATAACATATCACTAACATGTGCATAGAACATTAAGTGAATTAAATACTAATCCTATGTAACATTCATATGGTCTAATCCTTTAATTTAATTACCATTTATTAAACGTGACTGATAAAAATATAATTATATCATCAATATTGTCATTACTTGTTATAAAATAACTACTTTTACATTTAATTCATAGTTACTACTTGATTTAACAATAGTGAATGCAATTTAAAATAACAAGATCAAAGCATCAAGTATGATTTTTTTTTTTTTAACAAAGCATCATGTATTTTTCATGCTTATTGATTAATTAGTATATTTTTATAAGTTACTTATTCAAAATCTCTTTTGTTATTTAGTTACGCCATAATTGATGGGATAATATTAGAATAATTTAACAAAATAGAATTACCCTTACATTTTATTAGTAATCTTATACGGGGATGGCAATTTACCTCACCTCAACGAGGCTCGTAACGCCCCGCTCCGGTCATATTTCTATTACCCAAGTAGAGTACTAGACGAAGCGCGTTACGCCGACATACCCTAAACTCTAAGTAGTTCTCTTATGATATTCTTAAAACTTTAAGAGCACATTACGTATATAACTCCTTAAGATAAAATTTACATCATATAATAAAATACATTAATAAAATATTACGAGCAATATTCAATTTCTCACGAACTCCATACCTCAAATTTACAAGCAAAATAAAAACTAATATATGGTGCCTCATATGAGCCGGTTAGGAGGAGTCAGCCGCATCCGTTCCAACTTGTCCTTTTCCGTCACGACATAAAAAAAAAAAAAAATAACAACGAGTGAGCCGAAGCTCAATAAGTAGGGTGATGCACGTGATATGCAATACTCGTTTTGACTTTCCACCATACTCATAAATTTTAATCTCGGGTACCACGGGTATTAGCCGATCTACTCTATTTATCATCCGGATGGTCCGCAGATCACCTTCTGCTACAACGGAATTATCCCTCGTTGTAACTATTGTTAGCGGGAATCCATCGTCTAACGAGTGCAACCACACGGCTTGATTTCATCCGGATGATCATCGGATCATCTTCTGCTACAACGGAATTACCCTTCGTTGTAACTACTATTAGCGAAATCCATCGTCTAATAGTGTAGGCACACGGCCTAGAGTACTTGGACTACTAATACCCATTTATTCCAGTTAGGTTATCAAACCTAGATGTATAAACCATTTCTCAATCAATTGACTTGTCTTAAACCACCCACTATGCACATGATGCACGTGATGACATATTTAATCACATTCAATCAAATTCGGGTACCAACCCTTCATTCTCATGCCATACTCACGGTCCAACCCACACTTAAAATTTATCCATTGCTCACATACCAATCATGATACCCACAAGCGGAAACACAACCTCCTCTCATTAATATTGTTAATTAGTTTCGTTAACATTTAAAAGAAGGTCCAAGTCCATTTACGTTAATCCAAGCCCATTAACTTTATCCTAAGTCCATTGACTTTATTCAATTCCATTTTATTTATTCTAAGCCCATTTAGTTTATTTCAAACCCATTAATTTTGTCTAAGTCTAATTCTTTGGTTTTAGGGTTTATTACCGGGCAACTCCTAATCGAGTAAATAATTTTTCAATTTTAGAACATAATTAAATCTTACCCATTTTATTTTAGATACTAGACATATTTATTTATAACATATTCAAAAATTAGGTCTAAATACCAAGTACACAATTAATTATAAATTTTTGAAACTTAGGGAGCAATCTGCCTAATAGTAGTTTGTCTAGAGCTATCCATACTAAATCGGGTATAACTCTTTGTACATAATTCCAATGACCAAGAAATTTTAAAGGGAGTTATTTGAAACATATATGAACAACTTTTATTCTTTAATTTTCACCCAGAAATCGACCTAAAATCCTTGAACATGCACCCTAAAATTCGGACAGAACTTACTCCTTATCAACACTAATTTATTAGTTCATTCCAAGCCAACTTTAAACATGTTTTAGTTCACTTAAATTTAGTCCAAGTTCAATCCAACCAATCACCACATACTTGGACATTTTTCAAAAAAATCATAATATCATAAATCATCACAACAAGGCATCCATACATAGATTTATCCCAAGCATCAAGCATATAACCATTGAAAATTATTACAACCCATGAAATAAACACTAACAAAATAACTTAAACAAAATAATTTAAGACAATAATCAGCCAAAGAATGAAACCTACTTACGTCTTTTAGGTTTGATTAGAATTTATTTAGCTCTTTTTCTTTCCTTTTTCCCTTTTCTTTCTCTTTTCTTTCTTTCTCTATTTTTGCTGTTTTTCTCTCTTCAATTTGGCTTCTCTTTTTAATTCTGGATGGCTACGGTTTTTGGCTTAAAAATGGCAGCCATTTAACCCTCTCTTTCCCTTATATACTCACCTTTTATCCTATCATTTATTTATATCATAAGTGTTACAATTTAACTAGGCCAAATGTAAAGTGAAGGAAGCTTGGAAGGCAAAGCTGGCATGTTTTGGAAGTCAAAGGTGATGATTTGGCTTCTAAGCATTTAATTCAAGTGCTTAGCTGGCTAAAGAAAACTTAGGATAAATAAAAACATTAATAAGCTGGGTTAATGTAATTATACAAAATTTATTTCATAAAAAAATTTGGAAATTTTCATTTTTAAAATTCGAAATTTCTTTTTCTCCAAAATTTCAGCAGTGTTACCTCCTAACCCATCTATACTAAAATGTGCATAACTCTTTCTATATGTATCCAAAATTTATGGAATTTTATAGAAAGCTATTACACACATAGACAAACAACTTTTATTCTTTACGTTTTTCTCAAAAATCAATCTAACAGCATCAAATAAATCTCACAAGATTCGGGCAGATTCTTCTCCCAAAATTCCAGCAGAATGCATTTCGAAACAACCCTCACTATAATTGGTATAACTCTTAATGTATAGGTCCAAATATTATAAAATTGTATACAGGCCTATTAAACACATAGATGAACAATTTTAATTCTTTAAGGTTGACCCAAAAATTACTCTAAAGGCCTCAAATAATTCACACAAAACTCGGGTAGAATATAGTCCTTAAAACAGTGATTTTGCATCTTTGATTTCTTTAATAATTAAACCATTAATTTTAAGCACAATCACTTTAATTTAACATAAATCACATATTTCAAGCATTAATTTCTCATGATGAAATGATAATTATACTTACTCTTAATATACATATATATAGAATTATTTTAATACACGTTGCGTTACGGATAAGGATTTTTATGGGGGTTACAAGGCCCCACCTTCTCCATCTCGATCAACGCAGGAATTCTCCGAATTGATTGAGAAACGGGGTTGTAATTTTGAACATGGATGAGGTGGAAATGATACTTGCTCGTCTCGCTCCGCATCCTCGCCCTGCCTCGCCCCTCCTTACCATCCTCGTCCTAGCCCATTATTTTCTTTGAAAATTATAATTATACCCTATATATATAATCTAAGGCTACAAATTAGTCTCTAATGTAATGAGTGAGTTTTTATAATCTCTAAGTAATAAAAACATGTAAGAATTTGTGTTTTTTAATTACATTTGTGATACTTTATCAACTTGATTAAGTATATTATTATTCGATTGAAAATAATTTAATATATTATAAGTTGCATTATAAATTCTAATTAAATGTAATGTTAAATTATTGTCTTTCATAATTATATTTTTTATATGGATTATTATCTTTTTACTATAGTTCAAATTTGATACAATATAATATGAGGTAGAATGAAGCCAAAAGGTCGTAAAAAATTAAGCAGAACACCGGTGCCCCACAAGGATCTCCATCCTCACTCCGTGCAAGCCACGAGGCAAGGACGAAGTTTTTGAAGCCCCCATTCCTATACTCATATATACACTAATTATTGATTTTGAATTTGATTATTCATGTAACAATAAGATAATTTAATTATGTAGTACCAAACATGGTATTAAATATCTTAAATTAAGATTCAATCAAGGAGAGAACTTAGTTTTGATGCGTAAAAAATGGTTCCAGGGCAGAGGATGCCATTGGGTATTCCAGCCCTAGAGTTCCTTATCCATGGAATTTAGAATATTACTCATCCACGAATTAACCAACCAGGAAAAAGAAGATCACAGTCGCAAATTGAATCACGTAGCATCAAAAGGATCAGCACTTCTCCTTGACCACCAAAAGAAATGATTCGAAAGAAAAAATAAATTTCTAAATGTTGAATAAACTTTTTTAATCTCAATTGCCACCACATCTTCCACTCAATGGATTCAGTATCAGAAGATGAATTCACCATAAATTAACCCACTAAGAGTAACCAAGCTAAAGTCACATGAACTGCCCTATGATTGAAACCTACCATTAAGAACGATAAAAACTAGTCAACAAGGCTTTACGCCCATCCTAGAAGACTTGGGAGTTGGGAGTGTCCAAGTTCAAATCCCCTACCTCAAAACCATTCTAGAGAGAGAGAGAGAGATTAGGAAAATAATGTTCCAAACATAGACCAAGAAGACCTAGCATGTGGATGCGAGCAAGCTGACAAACATCAAACTTTTCATTAAGAAATTCACAACCTGGAATCAAAATTCAACGCCACCAAAACTCTGATATACAACAGGAATATCAAATAAACAAATTTTCTAACTGTTGAAAGCAAATGAGATCTAATCTAACATGATGTATTCATATACTGTTTATCAAGAATGTTACTAACAAGCCTTTGGTAGAATGTATAGAAGAATCATACTCTGGGAAGAATAGCCATCGAATTGAGGAGACCAGTTCCTGACTATCGGGCCAACTATCCCAAATAGTCTGTCCAAACTTTAATCAGAAGAATATATTGAGTTGCAAATATGGAAAGATACAAAATCAGGATGGTTTGGTCGCTTCTGATCTCTGACCAGTGTGAAACATGGAGTAGCTGCAATGTCAACCAGCAAGTACAGCCTCAGACATCAATTCATGTCTGGAACGTTGCCCCAGAGGAATATCACTATGTACAAGTATGCGCTGTCCGAAGATGGGTAAAAGGTGCAGTATTCTCCTGCTGAGTAACTAAATCCCCCCACCAGCCAGCCGAGTTCTATGACAAATGACAAGGGGAAACGATGAAAAAAAGAAAGAAAACCCTGATGAAGAAAATGCAGCCTGCTGGACTTCTAAAAAGTATTTCAGCCGATACAATTACAATTTCCTCACAACAAGTGTCAACAGGCGACAAACTGTCATCAGTATTCTGCTTAATTGCCAATGCCACAGTGCAGTGAACCCATTGGCCTCATATATGACTTCCATTTACAAACAGCTCTGATCAAAATGCTTCACTGGACTGGCCTTGTCGAAGGGAGCAAAGAAGGCAATCACCAAGCAAATCTAACCTCACAATATTCCATTCAAAACCCTTTGATAATAATCATACTGCCGTGTCCGCCATGCATCTAAGCTGCTGCTGATCAGAGAGAGCACTAAGGACACACATTGCTGCAAGAAACAAACACAATGTATCATGATAACCATAGCAATAAAATCTTGTGCAGACTGATACCGTGATACAATATAAAATTGCAAGGTTACCTCTTCTGTCAAACTTAGATGGTATCGCTTTCTTAGGTTCTGTATTGTCCGTGGACCACCTTTAAAGCAAGGGAAACCAGAATCCTGATCCAGAAAAAGAAAAAGGCAAACAAGTGCCTTCAGTCAACAAAGCATCCTTATTGCAGACATTAGAGCACCAGCATCATAAAGTCAGGCCCCTACAAAGAAAATACATAATTTTGTTTGATTGAAAATTATGTACTCCCTTTCTACCTCTATCGAATAAATACGAACAAGGAAAACTAATTGTCCTATTTCAAACTTTAGTGACAATAGGTCAGGTTTGGCACTCCCCAAGCATTACTCCCCAGCCCAAATTCCCAGTTACATATTGGGGTTGAGCAGCCCAAACAGCTATGATTACTTCCACAACATTACTACTAATAAAGTTGAAATACACCGGGTTGGGAATTCAAATCCACAATTCGCACATTGCACCAATCATCCACAGTACTTGCACCAATAATCCTAGCACATTCTCATTTCTTTACCAATTTTGTAGGCAACAAAACAAGATCGAAAGGCTTCATGAATATCCTTGACAAATTGCCACAAAAATAAACTAGGAACCCAAACTTAAAAGGAAAACTTTTAGGTTGACAGGAAGAAACCAACAAGCTCAAATGCCACTGAGTATAAACAGATGGCCATGTGTGGGAAAACAGACCGCAGCAGGAGAAAGTTGATGAAACCTGGGGGATTTTGTAAAAAAACAGAGAAAGGATGGCAAAACTGGAAATAGGATGGGGAACGTAGATAGCCCAGGCCCAGGATAGACTTTGGGAATATAAGATGGTAATGCTGCAAGGACAGGGGGGTTCAAAAACCTAAGGCATCCAACCTAACCAGTCCCACAGGATTTTGATCCCAACTCATGACCCCAGTAAGCAATTCATATTCTTAAGATCCTTCTTTTCCACAAAGGTTATGAAAACCACTTACTGGAGGAAAAAGAAAGGACCAGAACAATTAGAAAATAATGGAAGGTTTGAAGATAGATCAGCTATACCTGCAACATCTCAACAAGGAGAATAATACGTTCTGCATGCTTACGACATGTCAAGAAGCCTTGAATGCATAAAACCTGCATTTGAAGGCCACAAACCATAAGTTACGTCCCAGGAGATTGAAGAGCCTAAATGCTGTAATTAGATTGAAACAGCAGAAAGTTTGATCAATACCTTAAAATAGTCAAAGAACTCGCTTGGAACTCCCTCAGCATCAGAATCCATTACCTAGAACAGATAGCCAGTTTCACATTAATATAAGATCCATAAGCAAAATCCAACACCGGCTGTAGAACAATAGCAAAGGGGACCAATAAAAATGTGGACACACGCACTGGCACACAAAATAAATATCATACCTCAAGAAGTTCTCGGGTTAGTTTGAAGGGTGCACTTTCAAAATTTACACCACCAGGAGAATTAGAGAGCATGAAGCCAAAATCAATGTGTATGATGTGGCCCTCTTCATCCATTAACAAGTTCCCGTTGTGTCTATCCTTCACCTAAAAATAAAAAATATATATATATTCTGGTCACAAAAGCTGTTGTTGGGTTAAAATGGTAATGGTGCAAGCAAATACACCCTATTTGACCAGTTGGTTGGGAGTGTCGATATTTTCTAAATGACAGTAACGTTTAATTGAAGGATGCAGCTTACTCAAGAGGAAAGGTTATATTTACAGATACACAAATCTGCAATCAATTTATCTGCAAATCTATTACTCCCTCCATCCCACATTGTTTGTCCATTCCAAAAGAAAATGAAGATTTAATATATTTCTTAAATTGGCAAAGGATATCTCTACAACCTCCTTGAAGAAATATTTTTTGTTATAGAAAATTTGTTAAGACAATGTTTAAAGCTCCGTTTGTTTAAAGGAAAACATCTTCCATAAGAAAATCAATTCTTTAAGAAGCTATTTTTCAGGAAATTATTTTCCAAGAAAATATTTTCTGCCGTTTGGCAATTACATGAAAAACTGCTGAAAAATATATTTCAGCATTTGTTTGATACAGAAAATTAAAATACAAAAACAGTATGTGATTGTTACATCATTAAGTTTTGAGAAAACTTCAAAAAGCCATATTCACAATTTCACAATATAAGATACATTTAGAAAAATTTAATAAATTTTCATTAATATTGACTCTAAAATTTTAATTTAAAAAATAAAATATATTTTTTTAATCATTAAACCAATTCATCAAAATTACTTGAGACAAAATTGAGTTAATATTCATATTTAGTAAAAAAAAAAAAAAAAAATTCTCGGTAACACTAGCATCGTTATTTTGGTAACTCAATTAAGAATTTTTTTTAAAAAAAAATTGAACTAATAATTTAGTATAAAAATTAGTTTTATCAAATATTAGTTATCATTTGTAGATAATTATTCATTTGGTTTCAAAAGATTAATATTGAAATAATTTATAACTAATTATTCACTACAATTACCAATAAAATTTTATAACTGATTAAAATTATAAATTATTGATTTAGTTGTAAATGAATAGTGTTGAAAAAATAATGTATTTTTTAATAAATTAATTAATTTTAATTTTTTTAAAAAAAATTACAGTCTTGTAATAATAATTTTCAACCATTTAAGTATAGTTTAGGTGAAGTTTGAGATAATAATAAAAAAAATAGAGATAAATTATTAAAATATTTATTATAAAAATAATTTTAAGATGTAAAAATTATTTTTAAGAATATTTAATGTATCTATAAATAAAAAATCAAATATTAGTAAAAATAGAAAAAAATAATTAAATAATTAATAATAATTGATAAGGAATAATTAAAAATTAATTTAATATATATTAAATAAATAGAAAATAGAGAAAAAAATTGTTAAAATATATGAAAAGAGAGGTAAGTAGCACAAGAGCAAGACAACTCATGAGAAGAAAAATGTTTTCCTCTTTTTTAACAGGTAAAATATTTTCCCAAAAATACTCTATTATTTTCCGTTGAATGGAAATCATTTTTCATTGACTTTTTTCCTAAATGCGAAACAGAAACTGAAAAATGGAGAAAACAAGTTTCTGGAGCTTATTTTCCCCCAAACAAACACAACTTAAATATTAAAATTTCTATAATTTCCTGATATGGACGAGCATCTAAGGTGAGAAGTGACTAGTCAAGATATCTGCTTTGGAACCAGCATCATTGTTAAACGAAAGAGTGAGATCAGGCACCATACCTGTAAAAGGTAGCACACTAGAGAATAACCGGCCATGCTTTCAACAAAGTTCCTCTGAAGAAATAAAATATAGATAAATAAAATAAAACCTCAGAGATGTATCTTCAACAAGAAAGAAAAAGGTAAAAAAGAAATTATATATACAGCCTGCATCACTATTTGCTGCTAAATATAGAAGTATTAATTTGGGGAAGACAAAGGTTTGTGGTACTGATGCAAAATGCAGCCTCAAGTTACAGGAATCATAGTACAACCAGAAACTACAAATATCAAAACCGGGGCTCCAATCTCTATTAACAAACAACAATATGACAAACACAAGCATACGGAAGAAGTTGTAATGCTATGTACATCTTAGGAGACTGATGTCAATTACATTATTTAACCATAAAAGAAAAATACATATATATACTTCAATCACAAATATATATATATATAATTTCTATTAAGAGAAATGGTCTCAAAACAAGAACAGATTTCACCATCCTTCTCAGACAAAAAACCATGCTTGAGAAGGAAACCTCACCAATAGAAGCATGATCCTACCAAACAGATAAGGCAGCTTTCACATCAATCCAGAATCATTTACTAGTTCGAGAATCAACATTTTTATAACTACTACAAATTCCAGGTATGCTCTTTCATTTTTAATTTATTTAGACAGGTTTGCATTACAATGTAGGGAACTTAAAGCTGAGAGGTTGAATTCAGCCCAGCCAGGGAAACATTTGATTTGAGTTCAGGTTTAAAGTAGCAAATCATGATCCTGGATTTTTTGCAATGTCTAATACCTGTGCAAGCTTAAAACTTGGGGAGTCCTCTCCATACTTGGCAACAAAAAAGTCACGCAAACTTGTGATGTTTGGATATCTACTCTTAATAGAATGGATTGAAGCCTGCATAACAAGATAATATCACTGAGATACCAAAGAACAGTCCTTATCAAACAACTCAAACAGAACTAATATACATAATTACCGTATCTGGAATTGTTTCAATGAGAGCTGTGTAAGATGAAGTACATAGAACTTCATAGGGGCGCAACCAAAGAGGAAGACCAGCTTCTTGAAATATATCTGGCATCAAAACCTAAATATTTTAAGCTCGAACCTACTGTAGGGAAAAAAATAAAAAACAAGATCCAACTTTTTGGAAAAATTTAACTACAAGAACTTAACATTGAATAATAAATGAATCCGGTATACGAGCTTAGTAATATTAACAGATTGTTTTTAGGTATAATTGTCAGTTATTCTTTTTAGGTGCTAATGATTAACTGTTTATTTGAATCAGAGAGAAACATGATTGTTCTCATGCAGACAATTATAGCTATTTGGCATGGGTGCAAATACGGATGCATCCAACTCATATAGTTCAGTAAATTTATTGCCCAACTTAAACACAATCTCTTTTGCATCCCTAAGAAGAAACATGCTGCTTTCAGACAACAACTGCTGAATATGTTAGCCATGATGACTGCAACACAATCTGCAGGCACCTACCATAGAAGTGAGAAATGAGTTGCACAGCAAGATGCTCCTGCCTACAATCATCACCACTCTTCACAATAACCTACATTAAGAAACAAAAAGGCAAACAATTTCATTAAAACAGAAGGCAATTAAACAACAGCAACTTGCAGAAATATATTGGTATCACATATTCCCTTGGTAGCCTAAAAAGGAAGATCAAATCAAACACCTTGAGACAATTAAGCATAATAGAGGATATATAGAGCCATACACAGGATACAGGCAAATACCTACACAACATCAAGATACAGATTCTTGTAATAAAGCTAAAAAGATGCAGAAAAACAAGAAGCCTCTACCACAAACAAACACATATACAGATGCAGGGCACCTCTGATATTCAATTAACACTCAAGTATTAACTAGTTCACAGTGTTTCAAAAGAGCAAACCATTCCAATTATCAGCAAAGCTCGAAAGAGAAAACATAGTTGGATATGCAGAACTTACAGAGCGCAGGTCCCAACCGGGTAATTTCCCATACACTGAAGCTTTACGTATTCTCTCTCTCTTGACATCCCAGAGTTCACCAGATAAGGCATCACTGGCCTTGGGACCGCCACCATTAACCTGTGGATATTCAAAACTTTCAATTCCATCATTCTAAAATAAGAAACAGGAAACATCATTGTTCTATTTTATGAATCTTCACCTTTGGTTGTGCATCTGATGAATCTTGACCAGCTCCTTTCAGAGGGAGTCCTGGAGGTGCTTCCCCTTTGGCTGCAGCAGCCTGCAGAAGACAGCTAAAGTTATAACAAGACCATCAAAGATGAAAACAAACACAAACAGCATTCCATTCAAAAAAGCCCACCTTTACTTCTTCCATGGCAATTGTACTAGGAACACGACGATGCTCCTTGCGTCGAGGCACCCCTTCACCCCCTACATCTTCCATTCTAACTCCAGGATCTGCTGTCAGCACTACCCTTACCCATTCCAAATCACTACAATGTGCAGCATTTTGATGCACACAATTGATGCCAGAGTTCAATTTACGTGCTTCAATGATAGATGACTGGTTAGGCAATTGCTTCTCCACAGAAAGACTCACATTAACAAATTTCATTTTCGTTTCTGAAGCATGGGACATTGCCTGATCAATCGCCTCAGCAGTTGATTGAGACATCCTATCACTACTATTTCGATAAACTTCCTGGGCAGTCCACAAGGGATAAGCCCAAGGAGGCGGCTTCGGCAAGAATGCATCTCCATTTGCAAGAGGAATTCCTCCTCTGGAAAGCTTTTGAGCACCAGATGTATCCTTGCTATTGCTGAAAAGGGTTTAGGGGAAGAAAAATCAAGAATGTGAAACAGGTAAATTCATTGTTACGGAAAAAAGAATATTTTTGTGATGCAATGCATTCCAATTGGAATCTGTGGTATTTTCCAGTAACATAAGTCCACAACATACCTTGGCATTTCACTTTTCAACACTTCAACACAAATCAGATAAGGTGCCTTTTCCCTAGAATTCAAGAGAACAGCTTCATCTTCAGGTATATGAACAACACGATACATCCCCTTTCCCATTGGAAAGCAAACTCCTAAAAGTATAAAGAGCAATATTGAAATTATGAACTCCTAAGTATAAAGAGCAACATTAAAGTTATGAGAATAGACCAAATGATCAAATGTGCAAAACTGGAAAAAAAAGATGAAGGTTAACTAGGGTTATACATGGAAGATGAAGCGAAATTACTTAGCAATTGAATCTTCAATTTCTTGATTATTAAATTTCTCTATCTAAAATCCAAATCCATGAAGAGAACTTCAATGAAACTGAAAATATTGCTTACTAATAGCAAACTTTTATTCTCTTCAGCAAAGCATAAGTTCATAACAGAATCGTATATTGGCCTAATTGCAAGAATAAACATCGACTGAACCACTCACATTGGCAATTTAAACAAGGCTATAATTTTTGGAATTCAAAAAGAATAGACAGAAGATGGAGAAAAGGAGAGAGAGAATGAGGGAAGTCAGGAAAATTTTTAAAAGATATTTTTATTTCCTTTTCTTTATATATATATATAAAATAAAAGCACCAACCTACAGAAAAAAGAGAGCAGCTCACCTTACATGCCAAAAATAATAATAACAATCCTCAATGATTAAAGATGAATTTCAAAAGGAAAAAATTAATAAATTTGCAAACACAATTTACAGAATAATAATAATCTTTCAAAAGGCTACAAAAATATCTCCACAACACCTATCTTTGAGAAATATGTACAAGTATAGACACATATAATGGGCTAAAAATTTAGTACATATTTTAACAGATATCCTAGACACTTCTGCCATTATTAATGCCAAATTTGAAAGATCTTGTTCCAAAATCACGTGCTTTGCATCATAACTTCCTAGAATCAGAACTATCTTTGCCAAAATTTCTAAGACCACCTTTAGACCACAATACACCCATCAAACTATTATTACATATGCCAGAATAGTTAAACAGTTATGGCTTTGAGATGGCCATTTTTCAACCAAAATCCAATATGGTACATACCTCCACTGTTTTGAGCCTCAGCTAAATGCATGTTGATCTCTGCAAGTGACTGAAAACACAAGGGTGAGAAAACACAAACTGTTTCAGAAAGCATTCATGCAGAATATCATGCACCACATGTGTGATTAACCTGCTATTCTTTAGATAGGTTAGCATGTGGCCCACTTTCCTTTCTACTAAACACCCAGCCTCTTACAAATCAAATTGAAATTCCGAAGGTTATTTCAATCATTTTAAAGTTTTAATGAACAAGTTTACTTCTTTTTTTTTTTTTTTAACTAGCACATGAGTGATTAACCTGCCATTCTTTAGGTAGGTTAGCAGGTGGCCCACTTTTTTATACTGAACACTAAGCCTCTCAAAAAAAAAATTAAAATTTCAAAAGTTATTTCAATCATTTTAAAGTTTTAATACACAAGTTTACTTTCTTTTGTCTTTTTTCCTTTTTTAACTAGACAATCTCTCTCACGCACAAGCACCATCAAAAACAATAAATAGAACTCATCTTTGCTGTGTCTCTCACCACCATTCCAGAACAATAAAACCTATTGCATCTCTGCTGTCGGATGAACATTCATCTCTTAGTACTCTGATCTTTTCTAATTGATTTAAAAGTTTATATAGCAATTTTTGGTAGAAATATACATTAAGATTGAATTGAAGATTACTTTAAGTGACAGCTTACCGCCTGATAGAACTGCTAGACTTATCAATAATTTTTCTTCCACAAGGCACATAAGTAAATCCTGATTACCAATTGTTTGTGAAGAAAGAGAGTTTCTGAAGCAGGCCACTGTCTTCATCTTAGACTTGTTTGTTAATTTCATAGTTCAATTCCAAGGTATTACGGTTTTTTTGCAGCTTTGTTGATTGAGGATTTGGCAATGAATGGAGAACAATCAGATAGGCGTTGAGAAAGAGAAAGATTCTAGGAAATATCCCCTTTTACCCTCTTTTTAAAATGCAAGAAACAAACAAATAAGGGTATTGTTTGTCCAAGAAAAGTAATGTCATGTGAGAAAGAGAGTAAGATTATGTGCAATCGCCATTTTAACCTCGTTTTAAACGCAAGAAAACTAACAATTAAATGTATTTCTTCATCCATGAAAAGAGGGCAGCTAGCTAACCTGCCAAAGAATGGACAAGAAAGCAAATCCCTTAAGTGTGTGTAATATTTGTATGTAAGAGACAGAAAGCATAGAAGAGAATTAACCTCACAAAGAGCACTTTTACGATCTTCAACTGGAAATACATCCACCAAACCATATGAAGTCTCACACAACGTCATCACAAAGTCCAATGACTCATGATAAGCCCCCTTCCGGAACTGTGATGCAGTGTTATTTGGAAGTGGGGGCTTTGTGTTTAACTTCTCATTCTGTTGCTTTGGTGATCCAGGATGCTTCTGCAAGATTAGAGCCCAGAAAATTTGAATTAGGAAATAATAATAAGAAGCTTGTAGCCCAGAATCTTTAATAACGGCACTTCTCAACCAGTGGAAATGTAGGCGTCAACAATAGCAAGCAGATCGAACCCATTAGGTTTTTTTCCAAGGTAACTGAAGTAAATTTGCCCTAGCAAAAATCTAATTTCCAGCACTTTACATGATTATAACATTCGTAAGTACAATTTCATGAACTTCTTCTGTTTAATTGAAAGTTACAGCCACTACACATTACAACTATGTTCTTTCTCCCCTTGAATGTAGCATCACTGTTCTGAAAGAGATTTCCTGACTCCCACCTAATAGGTACCGATTGTGAAGTTCACATAAGTTCAGTGTTGACTTTTGCTTAAATGGAAGACATATTCAAATGCCCCTTTCTGCATGTAACCTAAACATTCTCACTAACAGAAAACTACTTTTGCACACAATTCTCAACTTCATGCCATATCATGAAGTATTTAGGGTTATGGGGGATCTAATAGACTAAAAGTCTAAATGGCCACACAAAAGAAAGGTGTTGTAACAGATCTTATGATAGATGAATAAAACTACACAATTTTTTTTCTTTAATTGGAATTGGGCTGTCCCCATGCCTTCCCTTAATCCCTCTCATCCTTTATGTGGATGGTTCAGTTCCATGTCCACCACATCAAGTGGCTTCAATAGCTAAAAGTAGCTACACAATCACAAAACTACCAGACAGTAAGTTGATTTTCATAAGTGAAAACCAGTTGGTCTTTTATCACATACCTAAGGTATGGATTGTGATAAGAAATGACTGCAAAAGAGAAAATGATTGAAATTATAAGAAATGCAGGGCTCACAAGAAGAAACGGCCTAAAAATGGAGACAGGCCTCCAGCAACACTCTAAGTTTAACTAGCATATGGCTCCTATTGCAAGCATGATATTGGGAGAGTATCACTAAAGAATCCAAGCTCAGAAGATATATAATGACCACAGCATCTTTTTAAAACTATAACAACCTTTAAAACAGGCCACTATGAGATCCAGCACTGCTGCTCTGGAGCCTCTCACATTTACAACTCACATAACCAGATGAACAGAACAAAACAGAACAAAACAGAACAAACTAAACAAAGATAACAAAACTATCATAGAGAGCAACAACAAAAAAGCACAAAACATAGCCCTAATATCGTTTTAAAGTTTAAACTAAAAGCATACGAAGTATGATTTTCAAGAAATCAAGAGAGGTGATTTACTTCCAACATGATCTTTTGGCAATGTTTCATGCTTAAGCATATCCTCTTACACTCCCATTATCAATGACAACAAGAAAAAATGCATAGACTCAACCAACAAATTTCAACATTTAGTGGCCCTAATAGTTCTCATAGCTTAAGCATGCAAACAAAGAGGCCAATATAAGTATGTTGCTGCAGCAGATAACTACAAGTTGAATATTTTGCCACTGTAGATAACTACTAACATAAGGTATCTACATGAAATGTACATGCCAACATTTTTTATTGATTAAGATCATCAAGCACTAGAATATAATTTTAGTCTTTTAATAGTAATAATTACAAAATGCTGGTTCACACTGTGTTAGTTTAAAAGAGCAATGTGCTGAAAAGAAACAGTCATATTTTCAAGACAAATCCAACAGGACATGAACAAAATGATTATCAGCATACCTCTTTGTTCTTCTTGAAACTAAATAACTCAGAGTCTTCAACTGAGCGCTCACGATCTCTGAACAGTTTGCGAAAAAAATTCTCAGTACCCGGGCTGCTTTCCAACAAGCTACCACTATTGTTATTTTCATTCGTAGGAGAACTTTTGACCTCTTCAGGATGCACACGAAACAGTCTTCGAAACAAGGAAAAGTCAGAAGGTTCTTCTTCCTCATTATTGGCAATCCCCTCGTCAGATTTATCAGTCCCATCTTTCTTGTCCTCAAACTTATCCTTGAACAACTTCCGGAAGAACCCATCTTTTTCATCATCCTGTGCAGATTTTGAACCTCTCTCTTCAAGCTTCAACCTTTCTTCATCCTCATTCTGATCATTTCCGTCTTTCTTGTCTTCAAACTTCTCCTTAAAAAACTTCTTAAAGAACCCCTCTTTTTCATCGTCTTCTGCAGATTTAGAAAACAACTTGTCATCACCATCACTCTTACTATCACGAAACAGTTTCTTGAAAAATCCATCAGAGCTTGACATTACTTCCTCATCCTCACCTCTACTACTATCCTTGAGAAGCCTCTTGAAAAACCCATCTGAGCTGGACGTCAACTCCTCATCCTCGCTTTTAATGCTATCTCTAAGCCTCTTGAAAAACCCATCTGAACTTGTTGCCAACTCCTCATCCTCGCGTCTACTACTATCCCTCAAAAGTCTCTTGAAAAATCCATCCTTTTCACTCTCTTCCTCGTCTTTATCAACTGACTTCCTAAACAACAAAGCATCTCTAGCTTTCATATCATCTTTATCAACTGACTTCCTAAACAACAATGCATCTCTAACCTTCGGACCAGGAATAAACTTCTTAAAAATCTTATTATCATCTGGTGACAACTGGCTCCCAGTCCCATCCTCCTGCAAACCATTTCCCAATGAGGGTGAAAACGACATAGACTTCTGCAGAGGTGGAGAAGAAGTCAATGACAACAACTTCTGTTTCGACGACAAGATTCTATTCAAAACCTGATTCTTACTCCCTGGACTCGAAGACTCATTCCGTGGCCTTAACAATGGGGGCCACTCTCCCATCAAAGTAGCAGCAATCTGACATTTCTCCTGAATCCTACTAATCCCATCATTATCATCCGAATCCTCAAGTTCAGCCAACAAAAACCAATGCACTTTCAAAGCTATTAACAGCGACTTAGAACACATATCAATAACAAACTTATCAAGCGACGGACTCGGCTTATGTATCATCATATAACAAATTTGAAACAAATAACTCTCTATACCTGATAAGGGCAATGTATACATTCTATTACAAAGATAATCCCTTACCCCAGCATGATCGTGCTTGTATAGATAACTAACTGCAATCCACTCGCAAAAGAAAGCTGAATCAAAGAATCTAATTAACCACCCACTCTCACCTGACTCACTAGTTAAAGGAGTCATCCTCGAGGTAATCTCTCGCGGAGAATCATCTGATTCTCCGCGAGTTAATCCTAATAGCCTCACCATTGTCTATCTACCATTATAAAACCCTAACTATATATCTCTTCCAAATCAAATCATCAAAGAAAACCGTAACTAGAAACACAAATTTTGAAATTCCAACGTAAAACCCTGTAAATGAACAAAAACCTTGATTCGAAACCCTACTTTTTCTTCTCTTAGTGGTTTCAGTGTATCGAATTGAAATGCCTTACTTGGACGCCCAATCGAAATCGAAGCAAAAAAAAAAAAACCCAAGTCAGAGGCAGGCAACAGATGAGGCAAATCGAAGTTTTCTGTTTGGTTATCGAGAAAATTAAAGAGGAAATGATCGGGATTTCTCGGTCGAGGAAAAATGAGAGAAATTTTGAATTTTTTACTTGGGGAAAAGAAAATGTGAAAAAAAAAAAAAAGAAGAGAAGTTGAGATAGAAGAGTGAGAGGATCGTCGGTTGCGGTTTAGAATCGGATTTTGCGAAGGAACGACGTGTCGTTACTGGTGCTGGCAATGGTGATGGTGGTGGGGTAAAGTTGTTGTTGCAGAGAGAGAGAGAGAGAGAGAGAGAGACGGAAGGGAAGGTGAGGTAATTATTGTTTTTTAAAAATAAAAAATTAGAAGTTTGATTTTTGATTTTAAATATTTTTGTAAAGTCTGAAGATTTGGGTTCAGCTACTGTGCGCTGATGGAGTAGGAGGAGGTTAAGAGGGGGATTTATTATATCATTAATAATTCATTAATGATTATTTTATTTATTTATTTAGCATTGTTTTCCCTCCAAGCGTAACGTATGGGTGTCGTAGAGGAGAAATTTCAATTAAATGGGAAAGGAAATCTGTGAGGAGATATTAAATTGGTTAATAACGAATTGGTTTTTATTCCTTCATGGGGGCAGTCAGCTCCCTCTTTTGTTGTTCGAAACTTTTTAGATAGTAGATAGAAAGACTTTTGTTTAAAGGGGAAAAAAAAAGAAAAAGAAAATCAGCCTCCATCTTTCGAATAAATTATAAATTAGTCTATTTAATTTTGAAAAAATGAATTAATTAATCTCATTTGTTTTAAAAAATAACTATCTAGTCTCTTTATTTTTAATTTAATTATTTTCTTTTTTAATTTATTATGATTTTTTTTTGTTTAAGAAATAAAAAAGTAAAAAATATAAAAAATTAATATTAAATCAACATAGTCAATACTAATCAAATGATTAAATGATTAACTTTTGAAACAAAAGAGATTAATTTATTTATTTTTCAAAACTCAAGTGTCTAATTTATAATTTACTCCCATATTTCTCTAATAGTTTCTTTTTTAAAAAAAAACAAGTATAGTGTAATATGGATTCTACTCGTAAGCACTCTTAACCGATCTAGCATTGCATAAGAATAGTAGTTAAAACAACTAGCAATAGTTATTATTATTATTACTACTACTATTATTGATCTCAAAGGTATTCCAAACTTAAAAGTTCGCATTAATCTCTCGTTATTCCGTCGTAAACACAAAACGATCACGCGTTACCTAACAAGTGTTCTATATGTACAAAGATTCAAATGTGAAATAACTTGTTCTAGCAATTAAAACTCTTTTCAATCAAACTAACTCTCCTAAGTAATTATTGACTTATTATTAATCTTTTACTATTCGATTAGACGTACAAAACAATCATAACTACTTAAGGAGTTTTCCGCATATATAAAAATTCAAATTCAATACTATTTGTTTAAGTAACTAAAAAGCCTTTTGCTCAAACCAATCGTCTTAGGTAACTAAGAGTAGTCATTTAGTTATCATTCGAATGAACTAACTTTAACAAGCATAATTTGTATAAGTATACCTAAGGCTCATCTTAGTGCCGTATATACAATACAAAATCAAGTTATGCTATTGGACTTTACACCACCCCTATGATAACCACTCGTGGGTTTAAGAAAGTTTGAACAAATAATCTTTCATTAACATAACCAAAGGGAAGGTCACCGCCACTAACACTACCACTCCACTTAGATCAAGAGCTTAACTTTGGATGTTTAAATGGATGGAGAGCTTAAAGACATTATTTAGGAATGTGCAATACGTAGTTTATGGTTAAATTTGAAGCTAACGGGATGCTTGTATAGATCATGCTCTTTAGGGGGAAAAACAAACAAACAAACTATGGGCTAGTGTCATATTAAACTACTAAGTCTAACGTAATCGACAAATTTAAGGCCATGAATGAAATAAAAAAATCAATTCAATGAAAAAAAAAAAAAACCTATAGGCTACTATTAGATACAACCACCGTAATAGACTCATCCCATGATTTTGAAGGCCCTTGATCTTACATATGTTTAGATTACATGGCAAATCAAACAAATTAGAATAGGACTTAACTAGTTTTTTACCTTTGCTACGCCGTGGGTTCGGACAAAACTTATAAAATTTATTTTTAAAAATAGTTTTAATTTGATAGTATATGTTATATCGTTGGTTACTAAAATATTTTAAATAGAAGGTAAGAAAAAAACTATAATTTTTTAAAAAATTTATGTTTAACAAAATATTTATTATGTTTTTTATAAATTTTTGTCTAAAAAGAACACAGCTTTATTCTTTTATATCCAAAATCTTGACTGATAACTTATAATAAAAATTCTAAAATTCATAGACTCTTAACTAAAAAAATTTTATATAATTTTTTTTTAAAAAAAATCTAAGACAAATTATCTAAAAAATATTTTAATCTTTAGATTATATATATATATTGTAAATTATTTTATAAAAATATTTGATATATATAATCATGCTTCTATAATTTATAAAATGAATTCTTTAAAAATTCAAAGAATTCATTTTATAAATTATATAAAAAATATTAAGAGCAAATAATCACACACACATACATACATATCGCTCCCTCTCTCCTCACTCTCTCTCCCGCTCTCTCTCCCTCTCCTTTTCTCCCTTCCTCTCCCTCACCTCCTCCCCTTGTAACACCAAAAATAAATTTTCCATATTATGCATGCATATGCTTGTGTTTGTATGTTTTTATATATATTATGCATATAAATGACATCTTTTAAATTGTTTATCCTTTAGTTGTGGTATTTTGGATTTTATGTCTCTTGGAGATTGAGGGAAAATAAGGTGTTTTGGAGCTAATTGAATAGATTTAAGGATATTGATGAGTTTTATTAAAAGTTAGGGGACTATTTTAAAAGTTGGATATAATTATAGGGATCATGTTGTAATTTTGACATCTCATCTTTATGCCTTTGCTGGAACCAACGGGTTCCATTATTTTTCTTTCTCTTTCCACTTTTCTTTTTCTCCATAACCCAACCAAGCACCCCTTTCTCCACACTTGTTTTCTAACCTTTCTCATCACTACACAACCTTGTATTAAGATAATTATAATGATCAAAGTGGGTTTTAAGCAAAATTAAAGCTTGAAGAGTTGTTGTTCTAGAGATTAATTTCGAACCCAAAAGAGAAAGGTATGTTCTTGCCATAATTTCTAGTTATTTTTTGTCGTTATATGGTGTTTTGATGTTGGTTTATGATGGGTTTGTCTTTGAAGTGATATTGATGAGTCTTTTGAAGTGTGATTGATGAAGTTAGGGTTGATACCCAATTTTAGAGAAAAGTTGATTAAGTGATTTTAATTGATTAATTAATGATTGTTTTTTTGGGCTTATGTTTTATTAGGACAAATTGAGATTTAAATGGTTAGATTTTTAGTGATTGGGAAATTATGTGATGTTATGCTCGAAATTGACGTTTTGTGAATATTGTTTATTGAAAAGGTTGGAAGATGATGACTTGTGATGTATGAACTTTTGGACTTTTGTGGAGTATGAGAATTTTGATGAATTATTGATTTAATTAGAGGTTATATTGTGGTTGTTTTAATTATAGGAATTGATTAGCTTAAGGAGAATATTGTTGAAGTGCTAAGGAATCAAGGTAAGCATGGTTCAACTCACCACAATGATCATATATGTTATGTGTATTATGTGATTGAATGTGGTAAGTAAATATTTGATTAATTATTATGTGTTATGTGATAATGTGTGGTGTGATTAATTGAGCCTTAAAGTATATTACTCTATGCATTTACATCATGAGCATAGATTTACATATTTCGGAAAATGCATTGAAATCATATATACATGAAAGGCAAAGGTTTTGGTAAAGGCATAGTTTTGGTAAAGGCAAAGAGGACTAAACATGACATCTAGTGGGGTACCCGCATTAAGGAAAAATGTATTTACATGCATCATAAACGTTTACAAAATGTCATGCATGACCATTCTTATTGGTGTGTTAGCTCATTTTGTTATGTCTTGTGGTGTAGGTGAGGAGTCCATGGATTTTGACGATGCAATCGGAGCGCCTTTTGTATATCTTAACTTTTGCCCTTTTATTAGCCGATAAAGTGTTGTTCAATGTTTAGTTCAAACATTTGTACAGCTTTGTGTTTTGAAACAACATGGCTGGATGTTTTTTGCACCGCAAGTCATGTATGTTTGTTAGATCAAGTTCTTTTTTAGGACATGAAAATGAGTTATGTTTGGTTTTGTTTGAGTTATATTATACGTAGGTTATGTTTGATCTGTAGCGTCTCCCTCGCTTGGGATGCCATCATGAATGGGTTCGGGCGCGGGCGCTACACCCCTCCCTCCCCATTGTCGGCATATTATACTCATAATATGAACAATTTTTAGAGATTGTCAATAGAATGAATTTCATTCTATTTTTATATATTATAATATAAACATATAGAAATAGAAAAAATTATATATAATATATTTACTTTACATAAATTTGATGTAGAATCTATTTCCATAGATATAGATTATCCGTATGTTGGCTCGTGAATTGAATCAAATGTGCCCTTTTGGTGTGTGTGTGTATATATATATATACCACAACGAAGACCATCATCGGTTCTCTTGATGGGGGATAGCCCAAAACAAACCGCTATAAAAGTCTAAAAGTAAAAGTCTCAAGAGAAGTACACATTCAACCTCGTTATGCCAAAGAACCTT